AACTGTATAAATTTGTGGATGCCACCGACTACGGGTCTCCTTCCTCGAACTATAATTTCCTTTTCCTTTGTCGTATATTTTGACTTTATCCCCTTCTTCTATTTTAGGATAATTTCTTAAATATTTTTCTTTCAACACTAAATTAGCCTTTACATTTACTTCGTTGTCGTCTTCGTGTGCTTTATTCGGTGTAAATCCTGTGCTCGAATGAACCATCATATTATTATATTTCTTTAATACTGGTTTCAACATTTCAGACCAACTTTGTTTAGTAAATTCGGCTCTGTCTCCTATCATTTTCTTAAAGGTTCTTATTGCTCTCTCGGCTACGTTAGCGTGTGTCAATGTTACTATATGGTTAATACCTTCGCCTTTAAAATAATCTTGAAGTTTTTTAGAATTGAAGCTACCTTCATCGTCTGAATAAATACTCATCGGATGCCCTAACGTTTTGAAACACTCTAAAACCGCATCATATACATCAACACCATCTTTACTTTTTAATGGGACGACATGAACTTTTTTGCTAAATATATCAATACATAAAAGGGCATATCTCAATTTATCTTTTGTTCCTGTGTCTCTCATTAAGCTTTGCATATCCATAATATCAATCTGAAATTCAAATCTGCTAAAAGGTGCAGAATAGCTATTAAAATTTTTGTATCCTTGCTTTTGCTTGTTAGGTTGCTTTTTAACCCAATCTTTAACAAATTGAAGACTCACACCTGCGCCATCTTTGTTAGCTTCCTTGTATAAACTCTGAATGCTACCATAACCACGTTCTAAGTCATAATATATATTGCTTAATATTTCTTCCTTGCTTAAACTCATATAAAGAGTAGAGAAAAGAAGCAATGATAAAAAAGGACTTAAAAACGACTTAAAGACTTGACGACTTATTATGTTAGTGAGATGAAGGCTTGTATTTACAATTGTCCTAACTGTCAAAAGTTAAAAAACCTTGAGTTGTGCTTTCCTGATAATGTCAATGACAATATTAAGGAATTCCTAACTTGTTCTGATATTATTGACAATGATGTTTATGATGACCTATATCTGTTTGCTCGGATGTATCCCTTAGACTTAACCCAGAAAGAAATAAAACGTTGTTGTTTTGATTTTAGAGTAGACCCAAATCTTTTTCGTAAATATATCAATACTAATACAATGGAGCACATTAAAACCATATATGATAATTTTTATGACTTGCACTTTTGCGCTGAATATTTTAACAAACGTGCTACTTGTTTCGGTGATTTATTCTTTTACAACAACAAGATGTATAGTGAAGTTTATATAATACTTGAAATTGTCATAGACATATATTTATTTAAGAAGAATACAAGATGTAAGCCTCACGATTATAAGTTCTTCAAACATGATATTCAGGAAGAAATATTTGATATAATGGAAAAACAAGCTGAAAGTATATTGGCATGTAAAACAAACAAAAGTATTCTCAAACAAACCTAACTATTAATAGGTTACATTAATAATTAAGTTTAACACGTTTTAAAGGTAAAGCGTGTTACAACCTTAATCATGGGAAGTTCAACATCTACCCAACAAACAACAACACGACCTTTAATAAATCCTAAACCTATACATGTTCATCCTAAATTCTCGATGGGTGAATGTATATTTACAGTTGATAACCCCGAACTGTATAGAGACCACTCATGTAAAGTAATATTTAAATATGTTGTAAATGATGAAGTTTGTAAAGATATACGCGGGAAGATAATAAAAGATATAATAACTGGATGTTCACATTATACCGAATGGTATTTAAGGACATACATACCCATCGAAAACGAAGATAAAAATAATTGGTTTGTATTTAAAACAACCCTCGGAGAACTTGAAGAAACAATCGCCATTTATAAATTAAATAACTTTTCATATCATATTTATCCTTGATGAGTTTTAATATTATCAAATAATATTAAATCACATCTCACTCCTCGCTTTTAGCGGGTGTTTTAAATTGATACTTTTCTTGTTCTTTGTTGAATTCGATATCATAATATTTCAATGTGTCTTCTTTTGGGACTTTGATTTCGCCCTTATTCAGTCTTTCCATGTAAGTTTTCCTTTTCTTGCTCCAATCGCTTTTCTCGCTTTTATCAACTGGTGTTGTCGTTGTGTTTTTTTCATAAGTGCTTGGTTTCTTAACATTATCCTTAACCAATTGTTGAACAATACCTAAAATTTCGTTAATCTTCAATTGAGTCATATTGTGATTTTCTATAACAGTGTTATAAATCATGTCCGTGCTCACCTTACCCTCGGTCATATACGTTATTACGTATTCTACCCTTTAGACCCTGATAATCTCCTCAATATCGGCATCGCTCAAGGGTTCTTTTACGTGTTGAATACACCACCCTTTCGGCTTCAAGTGTTCAATTATACTTTTAATGTGTGCTTCTGTCTGTGGTTTTCTTAAGTCAATCTGTGCCCAAATAAACTTAAATGTTTCGGGTTCATATTTTAATAATCTTTGTTCCCATCCTAAACTCGTCCAACAATCTAAATCAATACCTGTAACATAATAATCGCATTTTTCAGCCACTTTTGCTATCGAGATTTTGTTCTGGTAAATGTTTAGAAGTTTTCCCATATATATTACCCGTTAAATGTTTTTCCCGACATCTAACGCACGTTTTACATATTTTGCCATAACAACCGATAAAATACGATTTAGGAACATAGCTATGGCAAAATTTACAAAAACCGATGTCTTGATTATAACCTTCGTTTGGTTCGTTTGTTAATTTAAATTCTACTATATTCTTCATATTAATAATAATAACAATTTATTATTATTAAACGCAATGGGGTATGAGTTCCTTAAGATTTAATCAAACGAATTAAGCAACTGCTTATGAGATGCTATTGAACGTGTCGCACTACTTCCCTTTCATGTGTCCGTTCAATGTGAAACAATGGGGCTCTGTGCTTGGGGGCAACTGTCATGTTTAAAGAACAACATTTCTTTAAACATAATACCGAAAACGCGTTTTCTTGTGTCATAATCTAATAAAAACAAACCTTTAATGTCATTCCATACTGTTTAATCCTAAGTTCCTTTTTAGTTCCTCTACTTCTTTTTCTAATATTTCTATTCTTTCTTCGGGTGTTGGTTTTCTTGACCTGAACCCTGTATCTACTGTATCAACATCTTCATTATCTTTCATGTTTGTTTTGAATATAGCGTTTCCGTCGGGCGTCGTATTCCTGCCAACTTTCCAAGAAGAACGATTCTCTACCTGATTAACTACGACGTTACCCTGTTTATCTGTTGTTGTTTTAGTTTGTTTATACAATGCCTTTTTACCACATCTACAAAAGTTACAATCAACACTACTTTTATCAATGTGAAACCCTCCGCTGTTCTCTTCCATTAATATTATTTAGATTTTTTCATATTTTTAAGATAATAACAAACGGCTTTCAAGAACTCTAACAAACTACGACAACACATTCTGTATCTTGGTGTTTTTATTACTTCGTCTAATTTCTCTATCTCATCTATTACATCTATATAGTTTTTGTAGTTATACATATATTAAATAACGATATAATTTTCTATGTATTAATAATAATGTCAAACATTCCGATAGTTAAACCTGTTAATGTCAAAGAATACGAGTTCAAACAATCTAAATATGAAGTAGCCCCGAGATTACCTTTCAGTCAAATAATAACTGGCCCTTCTGGAAGTGGTAAAGGCATATTATTACAGTCAATGATATTAGACATTTATCGCGATGTTTTCGCAAGAATATATGTATGGTCGCCCTCTGTTTCAATTGACCCTAACTGGACTCCTGTTAAAAGGTATATTCAGAACGATTTGAAGGTGGATTTAGAGAAAGAAAAATGTATGTTTGATGAATACAACCCCTCGGAATTAGAAGAAGTCATAAACAGACAACATAAAATAACTGAGTATCAAAAGAAGAATGGACACAAGCAATTGCATTCAATATTAATTATTGTTGATGATTTTGCTGATTCAAAGAGTTTTTCACGCAACAGTCCATTATTAAATCAATTATATGTAAGGGGACGACATAAAGCGATATGTATTATCACTGCAACACAAAAATTTAACGCACTGTCTCCAATAATTCGTGTCAATAGTCGTCAGTTGTTCTTCTTTAGATTAAGGAATTACAAAGAAATAGAAACAATGGTTGAGGAATTAAGCGCCGTATTGATTAAAAAATCTTCTGTAGCAGATACTAAAAATCTTGCAGAAGCAAAGAAATTATTATTGGAAGTGTATAATTTAGCTACAGAAGAACCGTATAGTTTTTTATTCATTAACTTGATGAAAGCAGACGTAAATGATATGTTTTATAAAAGGTTTGATGCTAAATTAGTTATAGATTAATAATATTATTTTGCTATAATATTATTAATCATCATCCTTAATTTTCTTTTTCAACTTTGTTATTTCTCCTTTCATCGTTGCCATTTCCTTTTTCATTGTTTTTACTAAATCTTTTAATTCTTCTACTTCATTTATTGTTGCTTGTAATGCACTCCATAAAATAGGAACACAAGAAGTATAATCAAACTTTAAATATCCGTCTTTGCCTTCTTTAACTATATTTTGCCATTCATCTGGGACTTTTTTACTTAAAAAGTCATTAGCAATAAAACCACAACATGATTTACCCTTTTGTCTGTCGTCAATAAAATGATATGTTT